TGATGAGTATTGCTATCAAATGCTATATAGTGTGGCAATTAAATGTTTGAATGAGCATTATAGTAAATTTTGTGCATGCCTATTGCCTAGAGTAATGACGATGATTGAACAAATATACCTACAGTGTAGGGTTGACATGTTGGTGTTTCAATGGTGATGCAACCCTACAGGGGCTTGTTTGAATTCCTTTTATACTTTCAAACCAGCAACCCTACAGGGGCTTGTTTGAATTCATTTCATAGGTTCATCAAATCCAACAGAGGCTCAACCCTACACTAAATAATTTTTAAAATTTTTTTGTTCTAGTAATTACCCTTTCCTGTTTTTGTTTTTGCAGGAGTTTGATAAAGATGGACATTAAACTTGCTATAGTAGTGATACTGACTTTATTTTATTCTGGAGGTATAGACTGTAGTTATTTGTTTCTAAAGTATTTATATCTTTATCATGCTTAAGGTTACTGTAATGATAATTGCCAGCATGGAACACTGAGGTTAGTGAATGGAGGTGCTACCTACAGAGGAAGACTAGAGATTTGTATCAATTCTGTATGGGGAAGTGTATGTGATGATGCCTTTGATACTAATGAGGCAAGAGTAGCTTGTAGGCAGCTTGGATATGAAGTAGATGGAGGACAATGTAATATTTTAAAATTTGTAGAGTCTTACATTTTTTGTTTTTGTCAGCTGTAACTTACTATAGTAATGCTTATTATGGTCAAAGTACTGGTCCAATATGGCTCAATCGCCTGTACTGTAATGGAGCTGAGAATAGCTTACTGGATTGTAATAAAGCTGTTGATATTGGTAGTACTTTTGGTTGTTCACACTCAGAAGATGTTAGTATAAGGTGCCCAGGTATAGACAACTTCTGTATAAAATTATTTGCATGTAAATTTATTGTGTTTTTGTAGCTAATTCATGTAGTACTGGATCAGTGCGACTCACTGATGGACTAATACCAACAGAAGGAACTGTTGAAGTGTGTAATGATGGAGCATGGACTAGTATTTGTGATAGTGGTCTGGGGATATCAAGAAGCATTTGTAGTGTGTAGACAATTAGGTCTACCAGCAACAGGTACAGTGAATTATAATGATATCATGAGGTTTACACACTTTGCACATATTTGTAGATGCACAATCTGTTTATTATTCTAATTCTTTTGGATATGGACATGGAATACCAACATTGTACAACTGGAGATGCATTGGGAATGAGTCGAGTTTGAATCATTGCTTAAAGTCTACATCAAGCTGTTACTATAGTTATCGTAGTGTGTACAGGATATCTGGAGTTAGATGCAAAGGAAGCATTGTACCAGGTATATAGTGTATTTAGGTCTCATTCTATCTTAAACATTAATGCACAGGAAATTGTTCTACTGGTAGTATGCGTCTTGTTGGTCCTAATGGTCCTAATAAAGTGGAAGGGAGAGTAGAGTATTGCAGTAATGGAGTGTGGGGTACTGTTAGTAGATATGGATTTGATGTTAGAGATGCTCATGTAGTATGTAGAAGACTTGGTCATCAGACACCACGTATGATAGACTATTATCTAATTCTATATTACATTGTTTCAATGATTGCAGGAGCTTTGATATTTTGGAATGCATATGGTCAAGGATCTGGCCCAGTAGTGTTTCGCAATTTAGGATGTACTGGAAATGAAGATAGATTAGAACATTGTACTTACTCAACAAGTCCATATTATGCTAGTCACACAACTGATGTTGGTGTGAAATGTTCAGAGAGAGGTTAATATAATTATACTGTGTATAATGCATTTCTTCCATAATAGTATTAACTGACTGTATTAATGGCAGTGTGCGACTGGTTAATGGTACTACACCAGATGAAGGAAGAGTGGAAGTTTGCATCAATGGAGAATGGGGAACTGCTTGTAGTCAGTACTGGGATAAAAGTGAAACTAAAGTTGTTTGTAAGCAGTTAGGATACAGCCAAGCAGCAGGTATATCTACTGTCAAGTGCTACTGTTATAAATAAACAAATGAAATTGCAATGGTAATCTTTACTTTTAGAGGGATCAGTGTTTAGATATTCTGAATTTGGGTATGGGGACTATCAACAAATTTTATGGAATATTCAGTGTACTGGATCAGAAACTAACTTAGCATCTTGTAATAATTACCACAATAGTAATTGCTATTATGGATACACTGTTGGTATTAAATGTTACAGTAAGATATCTATTTTTGTAAATTATGAAATTTATATTATTGTGCAGATACAACAAATTGCACTCATGGTGAAATAAATTTGTATGGGGGACAGTCTGATGCTGAAGGAGATTTACAAATTTGTTATAATGGAATGTGGGTTTTTGTGTGTGATACATTTTTTTGGTGGTGGATTCCACCAAATGTTGTGTGCAGACAGCTGGGTTACCAAGATAACAACTGTAAGTCTATTATATAAAGTTTATGTAACATTTCTTATCATTAAAGGGGCTTCATATTCATATAATTCATTGTTTGGTTCAAATAACAATGTTGCTCCAATGGTGTTAGTTCGATTTTCATGCAGTGGAAATGAAAATTCACTAGATTATTGCTCCAATTATACTTACAATCATTACTGTGATAGAGCATTTGGGTTTCTATGTTCAAGTAAATTTGATATGATACTCAATGAATATATCTACATTGCTGCAGGTG